GCATTTTAGAAGTTCTGAACTCGATTTCCGTTGTCCAAGTGACTTTTTGACTGACTTTATTTTTTGATCTCTTCCTCAGGAGGACCAGGGGTGAACTTTTCGGCGAAAGAAAAAGTTCGTGAAAAGATTCGAAATATACATGAATCGACTCAGTTTTCGATGCTGATTCCGAATATGTAAAAAAATCAATATGCTCCTATGGCAGTTTTCAGGAATCCAGCGTGGTTTTCCAAAGATCCGCTGAAAAACCGATCTTCAGATTTTTTTTTTTTTCTCAGCAAAGGTTTTGCTTATGAAAATCTGCTCCTGGGTCTTGGCTATCAAATGCTGAAAACCGAAGGTCTCTATCTTGTTCCTATCAAAAGTTATTCAAAAAACATCCGACTGCCTTAAATTCTGGCGCCGATAGTAGTCTCTTGTACGTATACAACTTTTCGAATTCGATCATTTGTATCTGACATGCAACAAATTTTGTCGATCATAAATGTTTTCCAAACTTTCATATCATATTCAAAAATATTCAAGTTATTTATACAAATAAACAACAACAAAAAGTAAGAAATTAGCTGAAATTATACAAGAAAGAAAGTGAATTAAGTAATTTATTAAATAACTTCTGTGTGATTGATTCTAAAATCCTATGAATATTACTGAATGTGTTTCTACTTGTTGTTAATGACATACAAATTGAAAGTAATATTAAGATTAAATAATGATATCGATACATATGCATCATTGACTTTTGGTTTTTATTGTGAAAAAAATATTTTCATCCTTCGAAGAACAAACTTGATTTCCCATGTGTTAGGTTAGTTAAGTTATAAAATTCATCCCCATGAATATAAAAGGTAATTTGTACTTTTAATTATGTTAGTTATATTGTAGTACATCAATCTATTACAATATGATCAAACTGTTTTTCTACTTCTATATCTATAAATAAATAAAAGCTTGAAACAGTTGGGACTGCTATTAATTGATGAGATGTACAAAGATGTCAAATATCAATGGGTACACGATCATAACCGCATCCATACTAGTAACTTTTTATTATATACATGCATTCGAGCCAACGAGATATTTTATAGTTGGAGTCAAGTACTAGATATTCAATCTTATTGTAGAATTCTAATTTAAAATCAATTTGATCTAAATGAATAGATGATTTTCTGTTTGTACCGAAGGTTCTAAATATAACTAATTATTTTCTAAATCAAAAATTCGTTAATCGTTTTTTTGCATTGTTTATATATGAGAAAAAAAAATATTATATAATTGAGAAAGATATCAACACATTTATGATAACATACTATAATTGTTGTATCTATTTTTTTTCATACAAATAGATTTTTTTATGAGAAAAGCTTTCATTTGAAATCCTTAATGATTCACTACTATGTTTTATCTATTTTTTATACGCAATGATGAAAATGACGAGAAGAAGAAATCGATTTGTTTAATCAAACTTACGCAATAAAACTAGATAAAATTTTTCTTTTCTTTAATTTCTAGATGATTCTGTTTAACCTCATGATAGAACAAGTCTATTTTTACAACTAGTCCCTTGATATTTCGTACAATATGTTATTATTGTTTTCGGAACGCACATGTAGAAATTCGTCTAAACATACAATAGAATGTTTAAATGTATATATATAAGCATGCCATATAAAAAAAAAGAAATCATTCTCTGATTGTCCGTATACGTACATATTAACTATGAATAAGTAAGGACAAAAGCAAAAGAATCCTTGTATATACGTTATTATGTAATTTTAGTCTTGATGTTCTTGCTGAATTAGCATCAAATCAAAAACCTATAAAACAAGAATCAGATTTAGCAAATACTTCATTTATTCTTAAAACAACACAAAAAGGTAAACCATGTATTATACTTGATGGTCATCGCTATAAACATCGACGTGATAATCTCGATGGTTCCATGTCTTGGACGTGTACACAGTACGTTTAAATCCAATGAATTTCTTTTATCATTTCTCGATATATTTTTTTCCTGCTTTGTTTTTCTTAGTGAATTATGTAGTGCTAGTGTACGAACTTATGGTGATCGTGTTGTACGTCGTAATGATGGTCATTTACATGCTCGAACATTACTTGTTGATCCTCAACAAGAATTTTTATCGCGTTTAAAAAAACGTGCTGCTGAAGATACAGTTACAATTCCGAGAATTTATGATGAAGAATTAATGCGATCAATAAACGAACATTCAATAGAAATACGTGAACATTTACCATCATTTGCATCAGTTAAATCAACATTATATCGTCATCGGCAACGTAGTCAAAAATTAAAATCAATTAATACAGATTGTAAATCATCTGAATGGAATACATTACCACCGAAAAAACGTCCTTTAACAATTGACGTTGATAATAATGATGAAAAACAGCGGAAATATACTTCATTAACATATCCATATAATTTTTTCTTAGCACAAAACTATATGTTTATGTATGTTTATGCATCAGTATTATCTAGTCTTCAACAACAAATGTGATATTTTTGTTTTTGTTTTTTATTTATTTGTTGGCAATAAGCAGTACTATTTTCTGTGCGTTGAATTTTTAACCACGCACAAGATTTTTCTTTTTCTTGTCTAATTTATTTTCTATGATTGACATCATCCTTTTGTGTATGGTTTTTTTGATTAAAAGAATTTCTTTTTTGCTATTGTCAGATATATATAAATACAGCATAAACATACTATGAGAAAGCTAATAGTTATATTTTTGTTGAAAATGATTCGATCTAAGAAGGTTTTTATTGCTTTTTTTTTCTATGACGATGACGGGAAACGATAGACATTTTCTTAAACAGTAAGGACAAAAAAAAAGAGAAAAGTCGGAAAAATTTTGCGAGAGAATATATAAAGACTCATGTTCTCGAACGGAAACACAAATGACATCGATCCGTTCTAAATATGAAGAGAAACAGAATAATAATAAACGACGAACAATGAGCTTTTTTCTTAAAACATCTAAGAAATACAGAAGTCGTTTATTTTATGTATATTATTAGAAAATGAATATATATGTTTATTTATAATAAAATATAGGAATAGTAAGAAGGAATAATCCATTTAGAAATTGATAATAAATATGATTTTTTTCCCTAAGGATAAATAATTTTCATTACATAATCTTTGAGTATTAGATTTTCTACAAGGTAATTGATTTTGTATCATATTTCTTTATTATTAAACATATTTCGACATTTTATTCAATGATTTATATGTATGTATTTGCACTGATCCTTAATATACACATCATTCTCATTTATTTACCAAGTACATTTATTATGCATATTTTCCGGTCTAGTATAATAATGTCTTCCTTTTCTATGAATATATGTATGTATATGTTTATGTGTAGATGTATCAAGAATTACGTCAATGAACTCTTGCTTAGTTCCGATTTAATCAGATATTGATGAGATAGTTGGTAATGTGCATGAGAGTGAGCTAGTAAAATCAGTCGTACATTTGACATAACGAGCAGCGGGATATAGCCATAGTTTGAGACGTTGTTGCAAAATGAATAGATAGGAAGAAATGAAGAGAAAAGACATGTATGCATCCAACAGTAAAGATGAGGAGAGATGGGACCAATTACGAATGAAGACGACATAGAAAAAAAAAATAGAGAGAGAGAGAGAAGAGTTGGTGTGACAAACATAGAAGAGATATTTGGGTTAGAATGTTAGTAGAAAAAAAATTGAACGGATGCACGCACGCATACTCGAAATACGAATGAACGAAAGAAAATGCTCATGGTTCGGAAGAACGATGAAGCAATGTTATGAATATTTGTTGTTGTCATTATACAAGAATAGAAATGAGACTAAAGAAAATATCCTTATTTCTCTCTTTTAACTATGTAACTAATTATAGTAAGAATTAGTCTAAAGTAAATACTTGTCATTTATATGTTTAATACTACTGTAGCGAAAGAATGTAACTAATAGAAACGAGATTGTCTCTTCTATGGGTTTTCTTTTTACTCGTTGCACATCTATGTAATAGTTATCAGATAAAAGAATAGAAAAGAGAAGGAAGAATCCGAAGTTGAGCTTATTGATTATTTATTCATGAGAACAAGTTCAAATAGAGACAAATAGCAGGAAAAAAAAACTGAGAGAAAAGAAAGATAGACACAACATTAAGTCGATCTAATAAAGCTGAAAGAAAGAGAAAATCGACTGATGCGTGCGTATCTAGAGATAACTACAATCATCGTGCACATGCGTGTGTGCTTGTTTCTTATATATTAATTAACAATCTGATGTGAAAGTCATGTCTAATGGTATGCTACACTTATTTTACTAAGCAAAATTATCGTCATTAATAATAATATACACACGATGTAGGTAATAAGCTTTTATTATTCATAGGGTAAAAACGATGTAAATCTCAGAGGATTATTTCATTCATAATAGATCATTCTACTCTCGTTGACGTACATCTAAAGATTTATAAAATTGAAAGAAATTTTTTTTTTTTTTTTTGGTAATAAAATATCCATAGAACTAATGTAAAAATTATATAAGAGACAAAGAAAAAGAAAGATTCTATGAACATATATTAACGGGTAGTTTTTCCATAATAGACTTCTTCCGGTTTTCTTTTTCTATTAATATAA